AATATTTTGGAAGTGAAATTGCTAATGTTACTCACAGAGGTTAATTTCCCTTGATTGGGGCAGTGTGTAAACCAGGTTTTGTGGAAGTGCAGGATATGCTGTTGGCTGCAGAAACCAGCCCTTCTATATGTGGCCAGTGACTGATGAACTCTTAGAAGCCAAAGTATTGAATAGGTTATCCCTACATAGCTGCTGCTGCTTCCTCTTCCTCCTCCTCTTCCTCCTCTTCCTCCTCTTCCTCCTCCTCCTCCTCCTCTTCCTCCTCCTCCTCCTCTTCCTCTTCCTCTTCCTCCTCCCCCCCGACTAACTGAAACAGAATAAATAGTAAAAGTTCCCAACGTTATGTCAAATAAGAGAACTCACAGTTGCTTAATTTGCATAATTTCTTCAGGTTGTACGGTGTTGATTACCTTCATATAGCATTAAGGGGGAGGGTTTTATGTGCAATGTGAACAGTGCCCTGTTCTTGATCTGTACATCTTGAAGCTAGTAATTGTTGTGCGGCTGGACTAGTAAACTTCTATGCCCAGAGGATTGTTGTGCGGCTGGACTAGTAAACTTCTATGCCCAGAGGATTTTGTGAGTCCAGTGGCACCTTTGAATCCAACAAAGTTTTATTCAAGGTATAAGCTTTCGTGTGCCTGCACACTTGTTCAGATACCAGCAGCGGAACAAGGCTTATACCATGAATAAAACTTTGTTGGTCTTAAAGGTGCCACTGGACTCCATTCTGTGGCTTCAGACCAACACGGCTACCCCACCTGGATCCATAATCTGTGTGTGTGTGTGTTGCTTGGCTTGCAAGTGTTGAGTAGACACAATTGTGATTACCCTGACATCACCTTGTTTGATTTGTCTTTATATTTTTGCCTTGTCTTCCATGTTTCCAAAGCACACGTGCCAGAAAAATCAGCCCTGGGGAGGCTGGGTTTGGTGCTGTCCCCTTGAAGTTACTTTTGCTAACGTCAAAAACTGATACTGTGTATGAATCAGCCAATTCATATGCAGTCCAACTGCTAATCTTAAACATTTGCTTCCTACTTGACGTGCCTTCTAATGTCCCATGCTTTTGAAGGGCTTGATTTATTGCTTTTTGATTGCTGTTGGAAGTTAAATGTTGCCAGTGGTGATTGTAGGCTGTAAGGCAGTGTGTTTACTTCAAATGTACCAAGTGTTTTTTCAGACTGTTTAGTGTATGTGTACTGGCTAGCAGGCTCAGAGTACCAGGTTTTGATCGGCAGTCTAGGCAAGGCCATTCAATCCAAAGTCAAGTCAGGCTAGGTGAGGTCATTCAGTCTGAGGTCCAGGTTTCCCAGGAGTCAGGTTTCCAAGGAATCAGGCTGGTGGCTTAAAATCTATCGTACACATTGTGTCCACACCTAACAGCCTCTCTTTTTATAGCCCCATGCCTAAGGGTCATGCTTGCAGACAGCTGCTCAGAAGTAATCCTGCAACTACTCATCTTCATAGGCAAGCAGCTGGCATCAGGCCAGGAGGCGTGCAATTTGCCTTCTTGCCTGTAGCTCTGTTTTCAGCTTCTCAGGTGTAGGTGATACCGGTGGACTGGGAATGGCTAACCGAGGTTCAGCTGCTGAATCAGGGCTGTAGGGTGGCTCTGCACCAGCTGTTGGCTCTGAATCCTGACAAGCCTGAATCTTATTTTCTTGCTGGTCATCTTCTGTTGACTCAAAGGCTGGCTACACGAGGCTCCTCTTCTCCTGAGGAGTCCTCGCTATTGCTGAGCCCTGGCTGACCCATGACAGTATGTCTAGACAGCCATCCTAAAGGAACTATGGCTCGGGGGTAGAGTACATGCTTTACATGCAGAAGGTCCCAGGTCCAGTTCTTGATATCTCCAATTATTAGCTTTTGGATAGCAAATGTTGGAGAAAGACCCTTCTCTACCCGAAACACTGCAAAGCTACCACCCATAAGAGTAGACAGCAGTGTTCCCTCTAAGCTGAGTTAGTGTGAGCTGGCTCACAGTTTTTTAGCCTCCGGCTCACGCATTTTTGTCTTAGCTCAGGAAGGAGGGCTCCAGAGCAAACTAATTTATGCAGGAGCCAAATCGCTTGCTCACAACTCTAATGACTGTAGCTCACAAAGTAGAATTTCTGCTCACAAGACTCCACAGCTTAGAGGGAACATTGGTAGACAGTGCTGAGATTGCTGGGAATCTTCAAATCTGTCATGAAATTCTGATTCCAGTTGTCAGTCTCATCAACACTGTGCAATACACAGTGTGTTGGAAGTAACAGGAAGCCTTCTAGTTTTGCAGCAAATGGCACTCAAGGTTTAATTAAACGTCCAGAACTGCTTACCCCTTACTCTGAAAACTGAGTAGTAATGTATGTTAGAAACATGAGTTCAGACAGCCATTTATCATTCAGTTCAGGGTGGTTGTTTCCTTTTTTTTCTGACAAAAAGGTTTCAGTTGCATCAAAACAGTTTATAAGGTGCACCAAAACCCTACCATGACTTAACCATAGGGACGACCCATCTCTTCTCACAGAATTTGAACATGTCTGCGGGTCAAGGCAGATCGAGCAACAAGGAAATTCATGGTTTGCACCACTGTATCCCTCATATTATGAATCCCTGAATTAGAAGTCGTAGCATGTAGGGTTTCTCTGAGGAATCATACAGTGAAATTTGGCTGTCGGACAGCTGGTTCGATCTCTCATAAACTTTAAAAATCCCCTCTATTTTCCAGTCAGTGCAGGAGCTCTGTTGTGACACAAAAAGGCCGATTTCCCACAAGCACTGCTCTGCGCTCACTCTTCCCTTTGCCCCATCGTACGTGTCAATTTCACACAAGCTGCTGCGCGGCCGCATTTTGCCCCGCAGCTTCGCGCAATTTTCCTCGCCTCTACTCAATCCTCAAAAAACAGGATTAAGTAGACGCAGGGGACGCGAAACTGCAGGGCAAAATGCGGCCGCGCAGGAGCTTGTGTGAAATTGACACATACCATCGGGGCAAAAGGGAAGAGCGAGCGCGGAGCAGCGCTTGTGGGAAATCGAAATATTTTTCCAGTGTCAACTCCTTGTTCTTGAAAGTGGTTTACAATAGTACTTGCTGTCTGTATCGTCTCCTTTTGTTCCAGTGGAAGTGCAAAATCTTGCAACAAGTGCCAGGCAAGCAACACTTTCTGTATCCTGGCTTTTATTAAGTGCAATGTCTCTTTTAATGCAATGGCGTGTTCTTCATGTTCTGCCATTTTCCTTATGCATCTCTCCACTGTTTTGGCAGAGATTGGTAGTATTTTATTCTAGATACGACTGCATTTTTATTTGGCATATCATTGAACAAAACCTCCCAACAACTAAGAGTGGCTTCTCTTACGTACTCCCAGGCTATAAACGGTTTTCTGGGTTTTTTTGCAATGCATTGGGCAATTTTGTAACTTCCTTCTGTGGCTTGATTTTCACTTACACATTCAGAGCCACTGCTTTGCTTCTCATATCCTGTGACCGCCTTTAGAACAGATTCAATCTTCTCTGCTTTGTCAATTTGTGCATCATCTGGAAAACGGCACTGAACACTTGATGAGCGACAAAAAACACTTCCACAACAGAAAGTGTAAAACAAATTTTTCCTTCTGTGGGACAAATTCAAATTTGCCTGTCCCAAGAAGGATAAGATGAACAGACGTTCACTTTCTTCCTCAGTTAAAGGAGGTAACTGACCACTTGGAGGCATAAACAGAACCTCCAGAAGTCTTTTAGAGCAGCGGTTCCCAAAGCTTTTGCTATGGTGTGGTGACCAATGCTTCCTCCAAGCTGTGGAGTCTTGTGAGCAAAACCCCTACTTTGTGAGCTACTGGCATTAAAGTTGTGAGCAAGCGACTTGGCTACTGCATAAATTAGTTTGCCGTGGAGCCATCCTTCCTGAGCTAACACAAAAATGTGCAGGCCAGGGGCTAAAAAAACTGTGAGCTAGCCCACACTACTTCAGCTTAGAGGGAACACTGATGGTGACCTATCCAGAGCTGACCCAAAGTCTTTTGGCACCAGAGGCAATTTCACTATGACTTTGGCACCCATCTCATTCAGCATTCCATTTTCTACAGTGGCTAACCAGGAAGTTTTTGCAAAGTTAACAAACATTGCCCAAAGGGCACAACTGCCCCCAGTATGAACCCCAAGCAAGTGGCATTCCGACATACACAGCCTTTCATAGGGAAGTTGCATTCCAGCCTTTGGCCTCCTCTCCTCCTCCATGACTCCCTAGTCTACTGAGTGACCGTCAGGACATATTTTACTTGGTCAACATGTATATGCAGTGAAGAAGAAACACCTACTAAAGGGAAGATACTGTTTCCGGAGTCAGATCTTGGTTTGCAAGGCACAAAAGACTGCCCGGAGAGGGCAGGGGTGGCCATTAGGGAAAGCTGGCCTGCAACCCACTGTTTGGTCCCACTCCCAACCCACAGGTTGGGAAACACTGTTTTAGAGGGAGCTAGTTGCAGCGGTCTCCCTTGCTGCGGTTTGCATCAACCAGAACCATGGCCTTCTTTACTGGCTCTTGGGCCCCACAGGCTTATCTGGTGGACACTTCCATCAGGGCCTCAGTTTCTTCCACCATCCCGTCTCTTTGTCTGTTTGGTGCCGAAGGAGGGAATTCTCACGGGCTGAATGAGCACCACACTGTATAATTGTGAGTGCTGGAGGTTTCCGACCCTGGCTTTAAAACGACAGGTTGTTCCACAGTTCACTCACAAGTTACAGCCTTAACTGTAAAATATTTCTGCATTTCCTCATGGATTTCACAGACACTTTCATTTCATCTATGTTCAAGCGTGTTGGCGATATGACCCCAAAAATCTCTTCTGGAGTTTGCTGTGTGTGTGTTTTTTTAAAGTCTATAATACATAAAATACAGCTTTAATCCTATTGCCTCAGCAGTACAATAAAACCATAGACATGTTGGTATGTTTTCTAATGTTTCATTTGTGAAGGTTGCTTACAGATTTTCACAATCTTTCCTGTTTTTCTTCTAGAGAAAGACCGAGGACCTAGAAAAGTTGTGGTAAGTGTTTTTATAAGTATTATGTGTTGGATCCAGACTAAATACTCTGCTAATGGGAGGGGTAAGTTCCGTCAATTTCCTTTTCCCACTGCATACCCCTGATTTCTCTCTCATGTTTCTGAAGGGCCCCCCATCTCCCAGGAGCAACATTTTGGGGAGATCAGTGGGTTGCAGTGGGAAGGGGGCAGGGACGTTGTGCTCCAGTTTGGTGTAGTGGCTAAGAGTGGCAGGACTGTACTCTGAAGAACTGGATTTGATTCCCCACTCCTCCTCCACATGAAGCCAGCTGGGTGACCTTGGGTCAGTCACAGCTCTCTCAGAGCTCTCTTAGCTCCACCTACCTCACAGGGTGTCTGTTATGGGGAGAGGAAGGGAAGGTGATTGTAAGCCACTCTGAGACTCCTTTGGGTAGTGAAGGGCAGGGTATAAAACCAATTCTTCCTCTTGTTCTCCTTCCTCCTCCTCTTCCTCCTCTCTTGAGCGGAAGACTCAGTCTAGATCCAACCCAGGGTTTTTGAGAGGGTGTGTTCCAGAGTCTGTGTTAGCTTTCTGTTGCTTTTGAAGGCAAAATTCAAAATGTTGCCTTTGGTCTATAAAACCCTAAATCACTTTGTCCTTGTGTGGACTGCTACTTTTTATTGCAGTTTCCATGATTTACAGAGACTTTCAGAGTACACATTGTACAATTTGCATGACTAACACAGGCATGTAAAGTGGTCTTCTTAGTGACTGCTCCATTGCTCTGAAATATGTGTAATGTTTAACCATAATAACCTCTCAGAAGCAATGTATACTTCCTGTAACATTTTAATGGAATATATTAAGTATAAGCTAAGAGCCAGTTTGGTGTAGTGGTTACGTGTGCGGACTCTAATCTGGGAGAAGTGGGTTTGATTCCCCACACCTAAATTATGTTTAGGACAAGGTTGCTAATTTATATTTTATTGATTTATTTTGCTACATTTGGGTTCTGTTTATCTTTTATTAAGTTTAGAGCAGTGAGTGTGTAGCATACCTAGGTGATCTCCCATTCTCTCAGGTTGCCTCCCACTGGTTAGGACCAAGCTGCCGTCAGCTGAAGACCAGAGATGAAAACCACCTCATGTGTTTAATCTGTTCTGTAGGCACATCCTTTCCCCTTATTCCCATATGGATGTTGGCGTTCCTGATACCAAATTACAAGCATATTTGGGGCTTATATGTTGAATTTTAAGCATTGCAGTGGATTGGATCCCACAGATTGTTCCGCTCTGATGGAATCTTCCCCTTCAAGGGCCTCTGCTACTGGAACAACTGATAGGATCCAATTGGATATTTGTTTCATGTATAGCAAAATATTTCCAATCTAACAATACTTGCTTAGACAACAGAAATCTGAAACATACTGTTTCAGTTGCTGTTACAATATGGAGCGTGCACACACACACACACACACACACACAGAGTTTCAGTTGCTGTTACAGAGGTCCATCAGTGGCTATTAGCCACAAGGTATAGATAGGGGCTCTGGGGCAAGTGATGCTCTGTCTTCTTCGTGCTTGGGGGGGGGTCAACAGTGGGAGGGCTTCTAATGTCCTGGCCCCACTGGTGGACCTCCTGATGGCACCTGGTATTTCTGACCACTGTGTGACACAGAGTGTTGGACTGGATGGGCCTTTGGCCTGCTCCAACATTGGCTTCTCTTATGTTCTTATAATCAGTTGTGTTTATTCTTTGTTTTCATTTGTTTCCTGCCTGGAATTATATTCACTCAATAGGTTATAATGGTTACGGTTCAATTTCTTCTCTCTCTACTCTATCAGCCAGGTTGCTTTGGTTACCCAATCAGCATCTTCTTCATAGTCATCAATGAATTCTGTGAAAGATTCTCCTATTATGGAATGCGAGGTGATTTTTTTTTTTTTGTGTGCTCTTGTTAGATATTTGTGGCTATAGAGTGGTTCTTGCTCTAATTTCTTCTTGTTTCCTTCCAACAGCTGTGCTTGTTCTCTATTTCAAGTATTTTCTGCACTGGACAGATGATCTTTCTACGGCAATTTACCATACATTTGTTGCTCTCTGCTACTTAACACCTATCCTAGGAGCACTTATAGCTGACTCCTTCTTGGGAAAGTTCAAGTGAGTGGAAACTTAGAATAATTACACCGGAGGTACAGCTGAACAGAGCTAAGAACTGCATTCGTTTGGACCTGAGCAGAGTTTGGTTGTCCTAATGGGAGCTGTGTGAGAGAGAGAATCCATAATGGCACCCACCCATCTTTTGCTTCCGCAGAAGACCCTTCTGCTACAGCATGGTCATATTTGGATCCAAGCCATTGTTCTGATATTACAAAATCATTAAAGGTGGAAAAAAATAATACTTTTGTGGAACCAATGTCGTTAATACAGACTCCTGTGTACTGACATCAAGGTTCGGTCCAATAATAAAACAAAAATTGGAGTTCTCTCTCTCCCTGGCCGCCGTTCCGTCCTTTTAACAGATGCCATCCAGCCAGCCCTGAAATAAATGTCCCTTTCCCTAGTAGGGTGTTCAGGTGGGGCAGCCGTGTTGGTCTAAAGCAGCAGAACAAAGTTTTGAGTCCAGTGGCACCTTTAAGACCAACAAAGTTTTATTCAAGGTATAAGCTTTTCATGCACACAAAAGCTAATACCTTGAATAAAACTTTGTTGGTCTTAAAGGTGCCACTAGACTCAAACTTTGTTCTAGTAAGGTGTAATAACTGCATCTGTAAAGTTTCTGCCTGTGTTGATTCTGTAAAGATAGACAGTAGCAATGTTTAGTTTTTATGTGTTTCTGTCCAGAAATGGAAATTAGTTGAGTCTGAAGATTTGACGCTACACATATTCTTATTTGGACATAAAATGCCTTTGCGAACTTCAATTCCAAGTTGCCTTATGGCAAGTTTCATATTTTTATTCTTGACCAGTTTAATCATATAACAAGCTTTTTGTGTGTGTGTGTGAAATAGTACATTAGTTTACAACTTCTAAAGGTGTGTTTATTATTTTTAAAATACCTCATTGCAATAGAAACTGAAGCATAGACTACCAAATAACAGTTATCATTTTAAAAAAGCAAAGAGAGCTTGTTAGTTGTTATGAGTATCAGGAAGCTTTGTCAAAACAGTTTAACAGACGCTCCAGTCTCATGTCACCATCCCCTGTGGAGCAACTTTGGAATTTTTTTCATACTTTGTTCTACTGGGATTTCTGGTTTGTGGGAAGAGTAGATGCCACGTATGAAACCTTGTCTGTATACAAATTGCATAAGATGTCATTTATGTGGGCACTCTTGGAATAATGATAGTCAAGACATTTTTGTATGCCTTTCTCCTTGGTGACCCACTTCTTTGTAAAATGTTTTCTTCATGTTTATGAAGTTTTATTTTGGAATTCAGTGTCTTTTGCTTTTTCCCCATGGAATTTATTTTTAATTTAGTGCACACAACAGCATGCCAGATTGAGGCAGTCCCTAGAGTTCTTTTTTATTATAAAGAATCAGCTTATCAAATGCAATTTGGGAACAAAAACAGGTCTCTGAATGTAGATGAACTTCACTGACAGTGTTCCCAAATAAACTTACGTGGCTATTTGCAAGTGTGCATAGACTGTTTGCACTTCATGGATTTCCTGCAGAAAGCACCATGTAGCACCATTGCGCACACAGCAACAATAGTGTGAAGTGTGCCATAGTCCATAGTTAGAACTAAAATTGATTGAAATCCATTAGACGTTCTTTCAGGCGAGGATGGTTAGGTTTAGACTGTTCATCTCATTCTGTTTTTCAAGTTTGACGCTATTTTACATTGTCGCATTCACATATAGGTGTCGTGGGTGAAGCAGAAACAGTCCAAACATCAGATATCGAACTGGCATTCAGTGATATTTGCATATGTCTCACAATAGGAGCTCGTATATTGTCACGGATTACTTGTCCAAACAATCAAGAACATGTTCAATAAACAAACAGCTGTTAAAGATGCATCCTTTGTCTGTTTCCTTTCCGACAGGACCATTATTTCCCTGTCCATTGTATACACAGTCGGCCAAGCAGTCTTGTCGATAAGTTCCATAAATGATTTGACAGATGGCAACCGGGATGGAGTCCCAGATACTATTGAGATTCCCGTGTAAGTTACAACACTTATGTCTTGTTTTACACACAAATGCACATTGGGACATGCTAGAGATTCAGTGTAGCACAAATCCTATGTTTACTGTGGCTTTATCTGCTGTAACCTTGGTTCTTTCTCTTTGCCACATGATAGGAGTAATATGCTGATGCAAAGTCCATTGAGCATTATCAATAAAACTGCAGATCTGCTTTGATGGAGGAAGGGCGCCGGTTCTCATGTTCATGTCGCACACTGAAAGATCTATAGGACTTTAAAAGTTGCTTCTGTATGCAACTCTTGTAATCTTCACTACGAATTTAGGAAATCATCTACAGATCCTGTGCTTATGTGTACAAATTCAGATGGGGAGCCATTTTGCTCTTTTAATTTAAACGAGGCATCGTGGCTTATTGGAAGCAATCTCCCTTAACATAACAGTGCAGGCATGTAGAAACGGGGAAATGTCTGTCCTCGAAATCAGAAAGAACAGACGAGTCTCTGCTGAACAGGAATAGTAGAAAGTATAACAGTGGGAGGAGAACAGCCTGCCTCACCACTGCCAGGTTGCAAGACAAGGTGGAATGAAGATGCCAGTTGTGGGACAGAACCTGGAGAAGGAAGGTCTATTAAAACTGATCAGGTTGCCCTGACCTGGATAGCCCAGGCAAGCCTGATCTCATCAGATCTCGGAAGCTAAGCAGGGCCGAACATGGCAAATACTTGGAAGGGAGACCTCCAAGGAATGCCAGGGCTGGGACGCAGAGGCAGGCAGTAGTAAACTACCTCTCTCAAATGTCCAAGCCCCACTAGGGGTCGCCAGAAGTCAGCCATGACTTCCAGGAATACACACGTGTGCACCCCCTCCCCCCCACAAATACTCATTAAAAATACTGATCAGATGAAAGCTGTATTCAGGTGTGTAGGAAGGGTGTGTGACTCAGAGCATCTGCTTGGTATGCAGAAAATCCCAGGTTCAGTCCTCTGCATCTCCAGTTAGAAGGACCAGGTGATGTGAAAGACCTCCCAAGCCCCCTCTCTCAAATGTCCAAGTCCCACTAGGGGTCACCAGAAGTCAGCCATGACTTCCAGGAATACACATATGTGCACCCCCTCCCCCACAAATACTCATTAAAAATACTGATCAGATGAAAGCTGTATTCAGGTGTGTAGGAAGGGTGTGTGACTCAGAGCATCTGCTTGGTATGCAGAAAATCCCAGGTTCAGTCCTCTGCATCTCCAGTTAGAAGGACCAGGTGATGTGAAAGACCTCCCCCTGAGACCCTGGACAGCTGCTGCCAGTCTGAGTAGACAGTACTGCTTCGTGTAGCCATGTATAGTTCCATTCTTGGGATCTGGGGTGAGGAAATGCCCTTTAGTCTGAAAAGCTAGGAAGTTAAGTGAGTGTGAACCAGTGGCTGCTTTTTGTGCTGACAGACTTCTGCTTCCCTGCCTTCGCAGTGTCAACATACAATAACAGCTCAAATAGAGTTGTAACGCAAGCTGCGATGGAAACTGCATTTTTAAAAGGAATAGTGGAAAAGCTTGCACCTAGGGTTTATTTGGAAAAATGTTGTGCCCTCTCCAGGGAACCTGCCCGAGAGTGTTTACAGAATAAAACATAACAACATAAAACATCACAAGCTGTTAATTAGAACAAAGTGTTTGTCAAAGCAAACCAGGATTAAGTGATTGGCTGTGAATGGAATCCTGGTTTCACCAAAGTCACTATACCTGAACCAAGCCCAGGGCTTTCAAGAGCACAAGTACTTTGCGTATTGCACTTTGCATATTCGTGTTTCCTTGTTTAGCATAAGATTGCTTTGTTTGGGTTGTGCCTACCAGCACATAAGCCTGTTTCCTATAGGCGTAGTCTGTGCTTGTGTCTGCATATTGCAATGGAGGCGAGTACACATTTTATTCTTTTTATATCTCTTTCAACATACTGTTGGGCAGACTGTACTGTCTCTTATTTAATAGGAGTGATCCCTGTGGACCATTCAAGTAACCTGCTGTGTGTGTGTATTGACTCCTTCACAAAATAACATGAAAGGGTCAGGGTTCATTTCACTTTCTTGTAATTTCTCGCGATAGTCAGATCCCAAGTATAGGTCTTCTTATGGAACTTGTTTACATGGATGCACTACGTTTGCACTTGTGAGGGATTTATTTCTGTGTGACATATTTGGGATAAGCTTATTAACTAATTTTCTTTGTATAATGCTTTTGCTAGGAGTTTCAACCTGCTCCCTCTCGCTATACCCTGCCCCCAGCATCACAGTGATTCTTCTTTAGAATGCATATACCATGTGATCCTACTGAAAGCAACTTTCTAAATTCCAGATTATAACTCATGACTGGGGATGGGTACAGACTAGGAAAATGGAGGTTCGTCCCGGCGCATGAGGTTCCATGAACCAGGACGAACCTCCCCCAGTTTGCAAACTGGTTCGGTTCATGAGGTTCATGGATTTTCCCTCCCTTTCTGCTGGCAGCAGCTCCCCAAGGCCAGCAGAATGGAAGAGGGGGAAAGATCTTGCAAAAGCTATTTGAAGGAAATGTTAGGGGGGAATATCTTGCAAAAGCTATTTGAAGGAAATGTTCCCTTTAAATTGCTTTTGCAAGTGGGTGCCACGCGTGAGTGAAGTCCACTTTTGGCTGAATTCGCTGCTTAGACTTCACTCGGCCACGGTGCCCACTTGCAAAAGCCATTTAACTGGGCCAAGTTCGTGATGTACTTAGGTTCATAATTTGGATTGTGCCCATCCCTACTCATGACATCATTGGGGAGCATATAGTGGTCTGATCCATTTGCTACTTGAAACCACTGGCAAGTTTATGCTGATATCAGAAGCATTTCGCAGCTGGAAGAGAACAGGCTCATGTCCCCCCATTTATCCACCTCTGTTTATTCTTGTTACAGTGCTCTTTCTATGGTCGGCTTGGTTCTCATTGCTCTCGGAACTGGTGGAATCAAGCCATGTGTAGCTGCGTTTGGAGGAGATCAGTTTGAAGATCATCAGGTACGACAGTATATGCCAAGAAAAGTGTAGAACTCGCTTTGTCATTTGCATTGGTGGCTTGGTTAAAAGCATGCCTATTAATAGCAGCCAAGCTGTGAATAGCATCTGTGATGGTAAAGCTTGGAATCGATACAGAAAACTGGGGTTGGATCCAGCCTAAATTTTCCATGGGGGAATGAAATTTCCTGATGCTCTGTCCCGCTGCAGCCTACTGATTGCCACAAAAATGCTGCTCCTGGGGGATCACAGGAGACCCCGAGGGACCATATGAGGGGGATCTGCAGTAGGCAGGTGGAACTGGTGGGAAACGCTGGTTCAGTTTGCATCCAGCCCTATGTGGGTGCTTGTTCTCTAAGAAAATGCTGAAGTAAGCAACTTTAAAAAAAAAATGCCCACAAAGGATAATTTTCTTCTTTTGTACTCCAGGAAAAACAAAGAAGCAGGTTCTTCTCTATATTTTACCTGTCCATCAATGCAGGAAGTCTTCTCTCCACCATAATCACCCCGATTCTCAGAGGTAAAATTTGTGCTACTGATAGCAGAAAAATTCCTTCTTATGGAATTGGCAGCTTAAACGTTCCATTATAAGCATAACGGTTTCCTTAACAAATAAAGGCAAGGAGTTTGGCAAATGTGTACCAGTTAGGAAGGGCATGGAGGTCATTCCCTGTGTTTGTGGTAGGACTGCTGTCCAGGAACACTTCTGTCACCAGCACGTGAATGACCGGTCATGGCTGTATATACTGGGGGGGGGGGGCCATCATTTAAAAGAGTAAAATGGGGTTATGTACTAAACATACAGCTAAAGGTACAAGTTGCTTTGTTGGAATACATTTGACTAACCTGTGCTAATTATATTATTATAATTATCCTGAAGTAGTAAACCCGGAGCCGGAATGGCCCCGGCTAGCTTGACCTCATTAGATCTTGAACGCTAAGCAGGGCGGGCCATGATTAGTACTTGGATGTGAGACCACCAAGGACGTCCAGGGCTGCTATGCAGAGGCAGGCAATGGCAGACCACCTCTGAATGTCTCTTGCCTTGAAAACCCTATGGTGTCGCCATAAGTGAACTTGACAAATCTACGCAGCTACCATCCTGAAGGCATCAAAAAGTGGGCTTTTATACATTGAGAATCTTTACCCCTCACAAAACGTGACGTGGTGCTTCCAAAGGCTAGGATTATGTTATACAGGAAGAGGGACCCGCGATACTCGCAGGGGGGAGTATTCCCCCCAGCTCCCGGCCTGCGGAAGCAGGAGGACCTCAGGGCTGAGGAGGAAGTGGCCATAGGTAAGCTTGTCCCCCGGCTCTGGCGGCGAGGCCCGAGCAGCTCTCAACCCACTGGGCCCGCCAATCTCCTCCCCCCCCCAGCAGCGAGGCTCGAGCGGCTCCCAGCCGCCAGGCCTGCCAAGCCTCTACCCCAACAGCCAGAGAGTTCTCTGCGCATAAGCAGGGAACACTCTTTTACTTTTGTGGGGGATTTAAGTATCCCCCATGTATTTTTTTCAACTTTTTAGATTTTTCTGCACACCTGGGGACTGCTCCAATTGTGCAGGAAATTCTCTCTGCCCCCCAAATGCCCCCGATGTGAGGATTTAGTTATCCGCACAGAGGGGGCAACTTGGCTATTAGATATACAGATATTGTTATGACCCATGGTCAGTACAATGAACTGCAACTGCTGCCAAAGGCTAGGAGGAGAAAAAGTGCACACACCACAAACTGATGGGTAATATACAACCTGTACACATTTCAGCTCTCAGAAAAAGAACTCATGATGATGCATCTTGTTTTACTTGATTTAGGTGAAGAATGCGGAATTCACGTCAAGCAGAAATGTTACCCTCTGGCATTCGGTGTTCCTGCTGCACTAATGGCAATCGCTTTATGTAAGTTAAACACTTCCTCTCATTTGTACAACATTTGCTTTAATTCCACGTGGCTGCGGTTGTTAGGTATAGGCTTTCCAGCCTTTCCTTCTGCCCAAAATTCCGCTACTGAGGGTCAGGGGGGCCCTCGGGAACACCAGGAGAGACAAAATTGGGATCTGTAATGGGGGTATTGGCAAAAACCGTCAACAAAATGCCGTTATGTTGGCGTGCCAGTCCCTCTCCCCTAACCTTTCAGATGCCATCAGATAGCGAATGGGTTTGTGGGAGATCTGGCAATCCTAAACAACCTACTTCCCAACAAGATTGAACCTGGGGCAAATAATTCATGTGGAGAAGGTCTTAGGCTGCTGTGAGAGGCAAGAGTCTTGACTTGGAAGTAGCAGGGGCCGGCCTGCTATCCAAAGCCCTTCTTCAGCAGGGCCTACGCAGGCCTCAGTCCAGAGAGGGGGAAGGAGTTAAGCTCATCTGGGTCTTCCTCTTCTCCTGCCAGTGCCTCTCTCAGCCCTGGATGGCTGGAGAGAACTGGAGCCATGTTTCCTCAGCTTTATGAGGCCAGGGCCCAAGGAAGTGGCTGACCCCTCTGTCCTCCCAGTCTCTTGTAAGGCGTGAAATTCCTGCAACAGGTGTGGGAGGGGCATGAATGTCCGTTAAATCTGGCTGCATCCTTGTCTGGCCTGGGGCAAAGGTGCCTGCCTCTCAGCCGTTTTCACCCGCTGCCCCCTCCGACACCACCATGCTGCAGCTTCAGCCTGACCCACAGCTGGGTTCACAGGCCCAGTTTGTCTTCCTCTGTCCCTGTGGCTGGGACCAGAAGGCCAGGAGCAGTTGTGACTGCTTGACACTCTTCTTCCCACTCCTGAGCCTCCAGGTGAATCCAGGGTGTTGGGACTGCTCCCAGAATACCGCCAGAGGTTTGTTTGTGATGAACACAAACGACCTGTCAAAGGCCAGAGGTTTGTTTGTGATGAACACAAACCAGGTTTATTGTCAAACTTGCTGACTGCTTCCTTGTCTCTTCTTCCTGGGTGTGTGCAGCAGCCATGGATCTAACACCAGCTCTGAATGTGGGGTGCCTTGACTAACTTGGATTGTGGTATGTGGGACCCCAAGTCAAGGATTGGATTCTCACACGCAGTCCATCAGGATGAGAATCCCAGTTACCAAGAAAACTTGTGTAGAACCTGGAAAACCTGATCTTACAGTTTTCCTCACAGCCTAAATTTGTTAAGGAATCTTTATTTGAATGTGTGGACAGATTGGAGTTGGACTCCACATCGAACTCCACATGCACTGAGTGTGTGTTGACTGACAAGAATAAACCAGGGTCATGCTTTGTTACAAATAAACTCCAAACCGAGGCTTTGTTCAGACATGGATGGAAGAACACATGGGATGAGATGTGTTTGGTTCATTCTTCAACAGTCCAGGCTCCAGTCACCCAGGTCCATTTCCCAGTGGTGAATGGATACACACATTCTAGGCATCCCGGCATAATTCTGTTTCTTATCAGATTGCTGTATCAGTTCTCTTTCTTTGCTGTGGCAGTTACGGTACATGCAGATGTTCGCCTGGCAACGTCCGCAGAAGTAGCCTGTGTGAAGCTTTTGGAAAATAGCTGAAGATCTCTGCCATATTTGCACTAAATCTAAGTCAGGGGAGAAGAAGAAGAAGAAAAAGAGAGAAGAGATTGGATTTATACCCCGCCCTTCACTTGGAGTCTCAGAGCGGCTTTCAAACTCCTTTCCCTTCCCCTCCCCACAACAGACACCCTGTGAGGTGGGTGGGGCTGAGAGAGCTCTGACACAAACTGCTCTTTTTCAAGGACAGCTGTGCCAGAGCTTGTGACTGACCCAAGGTCACATCAGCAGGTGCAGGTGGAGGAGTGGGGGATCAAACCCGGTTCTCCCAGATTAGAGTCCGTACACTTAACCACTACACCAAACTGGTTCCTTCTATAGCTCCTAGCCATGGTAATGCCATGAAAGCATTCAGTTCTTCTGCTGGCGTAGAGTTCCTGTCCAATTGTAGCAGTCTGAGCATATCTTGGTGTCTTTTATTTATCTCTACAGTTGTGTTCATAGCTGGAAGTAGTATGTACAAGAAAGTTGAACCTCAAGGCAATGTAATGGTCCAAGTCGGCAAATGTATTGCGGTAAGGCATATACTGTGTGAAAAGCAGGGCTAGCATTTTTGAGATCTTGAAATCAGTGGGTTGGATCCAGCAGGAAAAGTACCATGGATGAAATGGGTGGTTTTCATGGCAGACCTCAGACTTCCCCCACCTCGTGTTGCGTGCAGGGAGGCCTCTGTCCCCCTAAGAACAGCAGTGGGGGGCATTTTAGACTGCAGTAGGAGGGGACACGCAGAATTGTTCTGCTAATGAAAAAACCTTTCCGTCTGCAAAGATCTGTGGGATCCAACCTGGTATTGTGAGAAAAACCTATTCCTAATTCAGTTTTTAAACCTATACTACAAAAGTAGAGCTGCACATCTTGCTCAAGATTTTAATTTAAAAACTTTTATGAACTTCTGTCAAAAAATGAACAACATGTTATTCTGAATCTAGATAAGGAAGACATGGCAGACAAAGAATTTTTACAAATGTAAATTACACGTGGATGTCAAATACATTGAAAGCATTCTATGTTACTGTACACTAGTGCCTTTTCTGAGTTTCCCCATTTTAATTTGTTTATTTTACTGAGTTGTAAATCACTCTTTAAAAAAATTGGTTTCAAATCAGTTCAGTTTATTAAAAATCTATCAGTGTATCTAAATTTAAGTGAATTGGTAATGTCATGTATTATAATATGATGACTTTATTCTACATCTATACGATATATGTGAACTTAGGGAGATCATGAGAGGGAGGGCAGGAAGGGTTGCATCAGTGCTTAGTTCTTGTGGCCCTTTCTTACATGCCCAGGGAAATGCTGATTGCCACATTGGGGTCAGGAAGCAATTGTTCTCCAGGCCAGGTTGGAACAGGGGTCCCTGGGGGTGTCGAGGGGGAGGTATTTGTGAATGTTCTGCATTGTGCAGGGGGTTGGACTAGATGACCCTGGAGGTCCCTTCCAACTCTATGATTCTATGATATCCAGACTGATTATTTAAATTCACTATTTTTCTCCTTGGTGTTGGTTAACTAGAGTTCCATCCTTTCTAAGCCCATTGAGGTCAGTGGGCGTGTAACTCCGCTTAGGACAGGGCTGCAAGGCAGGTTAATAGCAGTATGTTGTCGAAGGCTTTCCCGGCCAGAGTTCATTAGCTGCTGTAGATTTTCTGGGTTGTCTGGCGAGGTTGTCAAGGTGAGACGCAGAGAGCACTCCATCTTTCTGTGTTTTACCTCTGAGGATGCCAGTCACAGCTACTGGTGAAACGTCAGGACCTACAGTGCCAAGACCACGGCCAGACAACCCGGAAAGTCTACAGCAGTTAATAGCAGTACTTTTTGAAAGGTACAACATCCAGTTAATAATATTTCAGTTAGTAAGCGACACTGGGAGCTGCGGTGGCTCAAGTGGTTAAGACGCTGAACTGCAGGCTGTGGAAGGTCAGCAGTTCAGCAGTTCGAGACCCGGGTGCCGCATGACGGAGTGAGCGCCCGTCTCTAGTTCCAGCTCCTGCCAACCTAGCAGTTCGAAAGCAAGACATTGCAAGTAGGTAAATAGGTACCACTTCGGTGGGAAGTTCCGTGCGCCTCGGTGTTTAGTCATGCCGGCCACATGACCACGGAAACGTCTTCAGACAGCGCTGGCTCTTCGGCTTTGAAGCGGAGATGAGCACCGCAACCCTAGAGTCGGATTCGACTGGCTTTCGAGCAAGGGAACCTTTACCTTTACCTAAGCGACGCTAGGAAAACGTCTTTCCACAAGTTATGTTTGAATGAATATATAATCAAAAACAAATTATTGAACTCTTTCTTTGCAGTTTGCCATCAAAAACAGATTTAAATATCGTAGCAAAGAGTACCCCAAGAGGGAGCATTGGCTGGACTGGGCTAGAGAGAAATATGCTGTAAGTTGTTCTGTTTATATGTATTGATTTTTTTTTGTAAATTGTTTGCCTTAGTGCTCATGCTTTTCATTGACCTATTTTTTAAAATGATTTGTATATCAAAGTCGCCCAGAGAATACAGCTAAGGAATACCATTTTCTGTAACCTAGGGTTTCTCTAGGTGGCTTCTAATGTTCAACACATCACTGTTCCTCTTGATTCTAAGTCTAAGGGTTTATGTAATTATCCACATCATTATATAATTATTCACAGCAGGGAAGAAGAGCAAAAGACCTCTGTTGTGAAGGGCGAGGGAAATGAAATTCAACCCCTCAGAGCCAGTTTGGTGTAGCGGTTAAGAGCGTGGACTCTAATCTGGCAGAACCGGGTTTGATTCCCCACTCCTCCGCATGCAGCCAGCTGGGTGACCTTGGGCAAGCCACAGTTCTCTCAGAGCTGTTCTCCCAAGAGCAGTTCTCAAACAGCTCTCTTAGCCCCGCCTACCTCACAGGATGTCTGCTGTGGGGAGAGGAAGGGAAGGAGATTGCAAGCCGCTCTGAGACTCCGAGTGAAGGGCGGGGTATAAATCTAATCTCCTTCTCCTCTCCCCCCTAGGGTCCAATCAAAGGACAGACAGCTTTGTGTATAAAGCGTTTCTACGGGCCTAGATGTCTCTGGGCCATAGCCAATACTACTTCCTCTCCAATGTTTGTATATAGTGGGTCAACCCATTGCAGCCTGGAGAAGACCTGGAGCTTCTTCCCTGGCCTGCTGTTTGGCCTT